CGTTGTTATACGAAAATTTCATTTGGTGCAACAGTGTTAACTGACGTTGTCGCCACACAGATCCACCAAATTTCTTTGCAAGCAATCCTTTCCAGTGCTCCCATCCTTTTCCTCTATTTTGCTTAATCACGGCGCGAAACCACGTGTAAGCTATGCCTTTCAGGATTGATGGTAGTTTGGAAACTATCTCCGCATCCGGCATTCCATATGAGTCTTTGAAGGTATCGATCTCGTCAATGAAATCGACCCAATCCTCTTCAGGTTTCCCACTGAACTTTGGGTAGCTCTTGATCTTAGGATAATTCCTTGGATTGGTATATGGAGCACTTGTCTCTATGATGTCCGAATTTTTCTCAAATTCACCATCTTCATAGACAACGTTGTTTATTTTTGAGTGGGCTGTCTTTGCCTCTCCCTGTATCTTTTGATGACTACTTTCATACAGAACATTCTCTGAACTTACTTTGTTCTTCTCAGCTTGTAATCTAGAAACATTCCTAGCTACCGCATCGAGATGATCCTTCATCTCTTGAAACTGTCTCGTGAAATCAATTTTTAATTCACAAATACTCTGTCTCTCAGTCTCACGGTCCAAGGTCAACTGCTCCATTGCCTCGCACATATTTGCTGTGTCGCGGGTCAATTCCTCAGACGCTGAGCTTGTAAGATGCATCAGTTTTGCAATAGCTTGCTGGTCTCGTCCATATTGTTCCAATATGTCCTCAAATGCTGCCAGCTTGCTATCGAGCATGTTGTTTGTCTCTGTTACATCGTCGATTAAGTCTCTTACTGCCATCATCTCATTTCTAAATGACTCAATGCTGTCAACTTGAGCTTTTAGTTGACCATTGATGGTACTGAAATTCACTCTTAATAACGTTTCTAATTCTACTAACTTTGTTAGTGAAATGTTATTCGGCGGTAATGACAGTGACGATATATTACTACTAGCAGAAGCGCTTCTCAAACCAATATTCACACAGAGTGGGCTATCACTAGTAATTGGGTTGGATACAAGATTCTTTGGAACAATACCAGGTAACGGTCGAGAAACGGTAACAACAGGCACAACAAGCGATGATAAGGGCGTCGAAGGTACATCATGAGATCCACTCTTCACACTCTTCTCACTAACATCATTCCTTCCGGAACTTGAAAGTCCTCCTGTTCTACCACCTGCATTGGTACCACTTGCTGTACCGGCATTGATCCCGTCGATCCTTTCTTGAGAGGATACCGCGGATTCGCCTGTATGTGCTGTGGTACCTCCGTTGGAGGCGCTTTGCGTTTGTGGGGGTAATTGTCCACCACAAATGGTGGATTCCCTCCCAACTGGCTGTTGTCGTTGCTTCCCCTTCGCTTGAACGGCTGATTCGGGCGAGGTTTTGTTGGCCTGATGTGGTGGTTGGTCCCGAGATAAGCTATCTTGGGTGATGGAGCTTTGAGATTCTCCAACCGACCCTCCAGATCTGCCACGTGTCCCTTCAACTGCGACACTTGTCGTTTGTACGCTGTTATTGTCTCCTTCAGGACCGCGATTTGGGCGTCCCTTGGATCCCTGCGTACGAACTTCAGTTCTCGAAGGGTTTGCAACCCGTCCGGACCTAAGCCCTGTTGTCATCGTCGGAGGTAAGTCAAATAATCCTTTGCCTTGTTTTGATGACACAGGTGCACTTACTTCCATACTGCCATTCGCAGTATTAGCAGCTGGATCGCCATTATCAAATGACACGAAGTCCGTTTGATCCTCAAATTCTCTGCCTTCAGCAGTTGGAGGCTGCAATACCGCCGCCGCCTCATTCATTTCGGTATCTTCGGTAGCTGAACTACCTACGACCTCCACTGCCTTGCTGGCCTTTCTACCACCCTTTTTAGCCGTGGTAGATGGGGCATTAGCAACTGAGGCAGCGGCCGGAGCATTGATATCGATGTTAGACATATTACGTCTTTTGATATCGACGTCGTAAGCCATCACGGTTGTTTCAGTATTTGAATATAACACCAATGAATCTTTTTTTTCAAACGAAAAGATGAATAAAAATAGAGCGAAACGAAAATAAAAGTTTCCACAAGGACCCAAAAAGTCAGCCTTTTCTTCGTTTTGATTCGGACAAACGAAAAATTTTCAGACGAACCGAGACTTTTCAAAAACTTTATCGGATACTGAACAGGTACGATGATGGAGATTAAACCAGGTTTAGGTTAAATCTAGAATACTACTATCAAAATTTGTCAGTAAATTATCAGGCCGACCTCTTTTTATATTATTCACTCACTTATTCTGTGAATGAATTCAAAGATGCTAGGACGCTTTTCGGACTGGATTGTTGATAGTAGTGGATGCTGCTTGGTTGGTTTGAAAACTAAGCAGTCGCAAAAGAACGATTGTTTTATTAGTGATCAGTTTTGATGTTGGCTTTTCAACAGAGTCAAACGAAGTGATGTAAATAAAACAATCTTTAGTTGGTGTATTGTCCTCTATAATGCAAATATAATGCAAGACTTATAAAGGACAACAGATCTAGTAACTTCGGCCAGACCCCCAATTGTCAACAAGGACGGTTATTCAACCTGGAAATAAACTCAATATATAGAGAATTTACGCTTTCTTATAATACGAATCAGATCGAAATTTATAAACGCGTGGACAACACTAACCAAGATGGATTGAAACAGATTGTTTTAAAAGATGTTGGAATGAGGTGGACGCGATAAAAACTCGTAAGCTGGTTAGGCTAATAGTTGATTAGATTAGTATAATAGAAGATGAAGAAAAAATCACAATATAAAGAAAACAACGCGGGTTTTATACCCTTCTCACAACTAGACCACACACAAACAGAAGTACCCATGATATCATCCAGATGCGTAAACCCGGAATTCCCCGACTTGAATACATAAGTAATTTGAATTGATGGAATACCGAGCCCATCGCTCATTCGCCAAGATGTCATCCCAGAATATCATTTGTAATCCGTCCTTTCATCCGTTTCCATTTCCAGACCTTCCAGCTGACAGTTCCCACATGTTAGCTGGATTGGTTTTAGATGAGTAGGAACTCGAGTGGTGTCCCAATCCAACTTGAGAACCATGAACTGGAAATTTCAACATCATTCAGGAGTTCATATCAAAGTCAATTAATTCAAGATCATCTCACGCGAGTATTGTGAATTAATTGGTTTATTTGATAATGAAAAAGAATATATGTAGAAAGAGAAAAGTAAAAGAATTATGTAAAATAGGAAAAAGAATAAAGAAAACAGTTGTAATAGATTTATACGAGAGAAACTGAGAGTTGTAAGATGTTGTATTTCAATGGTTTCATTTGTGTGTTTGTCTCCAAACATCCTTAGGTAGTTAGCCAGGAGATAAGTCGTCTAAGCAACTTATGCCCTGGCTGACAATATTTAAATTAATCAGTGAAGACGAGATTATTAGAAGTGAGGTATTAAGAGATATTAGTCGACTTCTGAAAAGAAATGAGGGAAAGAGAGGAAAAATACAATCACTGACCATAAAGACCTTTTTATGAAAAGGCAAAATTTTGCTTCGAAATTCTTTGATGACAATGTATCCTTGCTGACGATTGATTTTCGATGGTAAGTTCTTGATGACGAGTGCTTTCTGGAAGTTCTTGAGTTCATCATCTTAAGATGGAGTAGTGTGAAATCAGATATCTCCGATGATCGGAAGCGAAGCTCACATGCCGCTTCTGGCATCCCTGGGACCGGTAAGCGTTACGCGGGCCCCGTTACTGGCCGGGTCATCAAAGTAAAGCGAAACGTTGGCCCTGTTACTCGTCAGTGTCAAGTCAACGGGGCGCAGCTCAGTTGCGCTATGGCAGCGCTATCCGCTACCTCTGCGCAACTGAGCCAGCGTTGACACCAACACCATGTTGGTATTTTTGTAGCACGTCAAAGTGCACACACCAAGGGCTTCTGATAGACACTTGAAACACCCTTTGGAGTTGTGTCCAAACAGACATGTCTCCCCTTTGCCAACTGGGATGTTGTAACTTTGTTGACCCCTGCTGGTGACAAAGGATCTGGCCAATTCTATCCCCAAATGAATGCTCACAAAGGGTGCTCAACAATACTCTCAGTTGAAACCCACCAAAAGACTTTCAGAGTTTTGAAATACATAAAAAGATACCAACATGGTGTAAGTGGCATCAGGAAGCCAGGGGTGTTGGAACACAAATGGTTTATTTACTAATTTACAAACAAAACATAAACAAGAGATAGAAACTAAGTACATTTTATAGAGAAACATGGCATGGGATTGGTGAGGATAATGGCCTTGCTGAGGCTGAAACATAACAACTCAGACCCTCGAAACTGTCACCCGTAACAAGGGGGAGCCCAATGCTGTACAGCCTTGTACAACTGAGCTCTGTACAGACGACTGAGCTCTGTACAGTATGTGTACACTACAATTCCCATTCCCAACTGTTCCCAGTCTTCTCCGATCCTCAAGTACTCTGCGATCTTGGAGCTTTTATTTCCACTCCTCATCCAACCATTCCTCCTAACAATGACCCTCAATTCGCTGAATTCATGAAACAACGTAATGGTGCTTTCGGTGAGATTATTCAACGTCTAGATCAAGCTAGCAGAGCTCGATTTGTTACAAATGCCAACTTGCTAAATCCAGATTGATCAAAGGATTCTATCTATCTCATTATCAATCTACTGATGCCGCCTGTCAAAGTTGTGTTTTCTTGAATTTTTCTTTGCATTTCCTTCACCTCATTGTCTCAATTTATCAAAGACATTTGTCAAGTAATGACCAATCTTGTTGATTGTGATTTCACTAACGACATAGGTGATGGCTTATTAGCAGAAATTATTGTTCACAAGCTTCCTGATCCTATGGCTACCTTCAAGGAACTGATGTATTTTAAACATCCTCTACAAACTGCTACCGTGTTGATTACTCTGGACAAACATCAGGCTGACAAAGAAGAAAAGAACAAATCTGAGCCCGTAGCCTTATCTTCTCTAAGGATTTTTCTGGCCGCTTTCTAAACAGTAGCCCATCCCACCACAATCACCACATCCTTTCCGGGAACATGTAGGGTGAAAAGTACAGGATTGAGCGGCGCATTGTGAGCCCTCACTAGACCGCCAGCTGTCCTCATCTTCCTCAAGCGAACTACGCGATTTACTAACCCTTGAGAAACCTGCAATATCTTCTGCCTCCTCTACCATTTCACACATCATTGGTATAATAGAAATGCTTAGGATCAAGCTAAGTAGAACCATCTTTCTTAATTGGATACCAATCATGGTTGATGATGCAATGTCAAACTAGGGCGAACACATGTAAGGCAATCCAAATGGATCAGTTATCTTTTTTATCAAATTTGTGAGTTTCAAGACGACTTACCAGAAAATTTATGTATTGATTGACCCGGCAGATAATCCTGGTGGCGCAGGAAGAAAGCAGATTCTAAAGCTTTATAAACTCTTCAGTTTTTGGTCAAGGGTATTCAAGAAAACATGGGATGATTACTCACGGACTGCGTTCGAGAGCGGGTGTGCGACGAGGTTGGTTTGGTCTATGGTTGATTGATTGAGTCAACTGTTGGTGAATAGGTAGGGTATGATCAGTATTTGTTCTTGGCGGATCTGTGCTTTCTGCTTATGAGATGAGCAGATGCAAATGAAGCTAGTTAAGTTAGCCGATATGGACTCACAATCCCTCAAGTAAGCTTAGTGAATGACAAAAATGAACGTCGATAATTAGAATTTTTGGATAGCTTTGAAGCTGTTTTTGAATTAGGAAGGAAAATTATCAAGTTGGGAACAGTTGGATGGTTTACCACACGAGAATGGGGGAATTTATACCAGAAATTGGGATCCTTCCTCTTGCAAAATCCTTCCAAAACTACTTTCTTCATCAACCTAGTCGGTTACCAAACTGAGGAGGTGACCTTACTAAAAGTTTCGCGCTACGTTTCGCGTTAGGTTTCGCGCTCAAAATAGAATGCAATTTGAGTCTCAATGGATGTCTTTCCCCGCGATATCAGATGGGTATATCATTGATAAGAATTAAGAACAGAGTTTTACACTTCCTATCCAGTTCAAGCAAATGCTCTATGTAAGCTCAATGGTAAGAATAGTGATGTCCCTCAAACTGACTCCGTGAGCCATTCATCTTACCAACGAAGTTTCAAACTACATTAAGCTAAAGGAGTGGAACTCACCCCTCACGCCAGGCCTCACGAGGAGTGAGGGACTTTCAACTTTACACAAGGCAATCCCATGTTTTGGCCGTACTCTACTTTATTCATCTTAGTGACGGTGGTGAGGCACATATCGTTGGCCATTCACCTGAAACTATATCTTCAAGCCCCCCGGAACCCCAGAAACATGATAAAACTTTTGACTCCCTTTCTAGGGTGTACTTAGTCCTCTCGGAAGACCTGACGTCTGGCATGACCGTACATGTCGTATTTCACCACCTCCGGCCCACTAAGTCTTCAACAATATAAGTATGTACCGGAGATAGTAGCGTATCACAATCAGTCTCTACGGGAGACAACGGAAGACGACCGGAGACGACGTTGTACAGCCTGCTTTGTTCGACTGTAATGCGTTAATGCGATGGCGCACTGCTCGCTCACACTCCAGGGTTGGTCCTTCCAGAACTTGCCCACCAATCTTGTAGTACATGTTTCTGGATTCTTTTTTTAACCATTGTGATACTTGAGTATATCTCAGAGGGATCAAAACCAATCCTCGAGAGATCAGACGAGCTTCACTTCCAAGATATTGTCGGGTTTTCCCTAACAGACATCATTAAGCGCGCAAAGCGTGGGCTAAGTCTTTCCAATAAATAAAGCAACAATGAAAATTCACATAGGACTCAATCAACCGGTCCCGCATTCACCTGAGCATTGAGCAAGCAACTCACTTTAGACTACATGATCGCTTGAAGGCCGAGTACATACATGCCTTTGTTGTGCGAAGGAATGAGACAAAAGATCTAAGGTGGTTGAACACTCTCACATGAATAATTTTGAATGAAGATCTTCTCTCGATCGAAATGCTTCTTGAACCTTTTGCTTATTGCCTTTGGAGATCCAAAGATAAGTAACAGTCGGAATATGAGAAATGTTCACTTCAAATGATCCAAAAAGAGCTCGAGTGCTTCTATAATTGATCAAGCATTGCTCCGATTAATAGCAAACTTATCAACTCCCAACTCAAAAACCTTGAGTCATCCATAGCCACTCCTCTTTTTGATCTATACATCAACAATTTTGGCTTAGTCTATTCTGGGTGCAGAAACGCGAGTGAAGCCTTGGATCCTTTTTTGAGGTTTTTCCAATCAATTTTTCAAAGCAACTCCCTTGGGTTATACACATTCATTTCAATACGAGTCGTCATATTCCTCAACGAGGAGTGTGAATGCAACATTTATCAAACCGTAGGAGTGCAAGTCAAAACCTATTGGTAAAGGTTCCAATCCACATCTATCCAGCTTATTATCAGAACTCATTCAATGATATCAATTATTTCCCCTCAAAAACTACTTATTAATAATGAAAAACATCACAGCTCTCATGACTGTTGTCACAAACACGGGCTTCTCGACTGTTGATGGTGTGCTCGGCACCGATAAGTTTCAGGTGTCGTAAAAGAATCTTGTAAAATAAAATAAGTGATGGATAAATAAAATACAAGCAGCTTGAACAAACCGAATTTCTAGCTTCGATAAGATAAAACAACCTTGATTCAAAACCCAAGAGTCAAATATTGGTTGATCCAATTTCTAAGCTTCAATTGATTTTCGAGTGTTCAAAGTTTTTCGATTTCTGATGGATATTTTAAGCCAATTTGATCTCTAATCTCATTAAAGACCTAGAAATATACCAAATTGAGTCTGCCGTTGTTAAGACCAAAGTGGATTAATAGAAAAAATACAACTTACCTTCATCATCAGGATTTTTTCTTGATGTGGCATACGGGTTGATTCAATTTGTTTCGAAAAGATGCACCTCGCTGCTTCGTCAGCCTGCCACACTTCAAACAAGAAATATGTACATATACCATCAATTCTCTTTCGGTGCTTTCTTCAAACTAAAAATTGATCAACTCACTGTAACCAAGTCCATGACCTTTGATTTACCAAAGCAGAGAAACAATCGCAGTCAAATGATTGAAACCAACAAATCGCGAATGAATGAAGATGACATACCAGGTATAGAAAATTCATCTATCTTCTCAACAGGTTTGATACGTCCTGAACAGGGTTTCCTAATATCACCAGTGCGTTGAATGTTATCAGTCACATAAAACCTATGTGGAACACAAGTCGGAAAACAGATTCTGATCTGTCCAGTAGAACCATAGATGGTCACCGCTCTATCTTCTAAAGTTGGGCGAGTGATACTAGTTTCCATAATTCTACATAAATTTTGAGAAAGTCAAACGAAGTTCTTCTCATACTTTTGAGTATAAAGAACACTAGCCATTTGGGGCGGCGGGCGCCGCACTGAAACTTTCAAGTCTAGTTTATTAGTTTGATTGATGACAACATGTACATCCATACTGTACAGATGCATGTCAAGTTGAATGTAGAGCAAATCATCTGAAGCATTTGATCCCAACCCAAAGGTATCACACGACAAGTGAAGATAGCATAAAGCTGGATACAACTGCAGGTATAAAAGGCTTGTACATTGTGACACAGAAGCTGAAGGCCTAACAAAAGTCCAAGGAGAAATCAGGACTCAGTTAAAACCATGCGTGAAGCCAGGACCAACCTTAGCAGTCTAGGAGAGGCAGTTTTCTGCGGGAGCTCAAAAGCTATATCTTGAGATGAATACCCTTTGTAGGCGCATCCTGGGGTCCTCTTCAAGTTGAAGATTTTCAAATTTGTGTAATATTTGTGTATTGGGAGACTTATCATGATGAATTGATCTTGTTTGAGATGTTTCTCATTCATGTCATCAAAACTCAAACACCCAAATAAGATTTTTGAATCTGGTCAATTTTTAGGTCAGTTATTAGATAGGTTTCTTTATTTGATTGTCACCTGTTATTGATCACTGTTGTTTCTCAGGTTTGAGTGTTTATTCACTACACTCTCACTGTTTATACTGAGCACAGTTCTGATTAAGAGCATCATAAAAGGTGTGCATTACAAAATACTAGCATATCAGCGGCGGGCGCCGCCATTGGTGTACATGAATAGTATACATAAAAGGACTTGAATACAAAAATCCAACACTATCAACCGGCGTCTCAATGCTCCATCCTGAAAACATGTTTTTTATCAAGCAGGAATGGCAGGTCTTTTGTTTCTTTGGTCACAAGAAGTGAAATAATTGTGTTCAACTTCAAATCAGTAGACAACATCACACCAAGTAAACTTAAATAAATTGGAATATCTTCATGAAATTTAGCAATCCCCAATTGCAAAATTGGACAAAAAACATACAGGTTTCAGAGTTAAAAAAGTAAACTGCAGCTACGGATATTGTAAAATCAACTTTCAAGAAAGTTCACAAAGAATATGAAAATGCCATAGGTGTCATGACCAGGGAAAGAGGAAGGGATTTGGGGAAAACAGTTGTGGATTGAACTACTAAGAGGAAGATAGATCAGATCCAAATTATAGACTTGGACATGATCAAAGAAGTTGTTTTGTATCAGGATATAAGATTAGGTAGTCAGAGCATCCACAATTGTTTGTGTTAAATTCAGAGTCAGTTAACCTCAAGTTAAAGATCTTTAGCCAGAGTTAAGTAATCTAATGCATAATCCCACAGTGGTTGTCTTTGACTTGGATTTAAAGAAATCTAAACTACAAGTTAATCACTGGGCCTACAGTTGTCAGCTCTAGCTTGGAGCTGAACTGTCCTCAGTTTTCACACAACAACCCAATTTACACTTTTTAATTACTTGTAATAGTATTCTCAACAATCTGTAATTTCACATGTAATTGATTGTTTTGTTTTAATCAGAGGCCCTTTTTGTATCACTTTGTATCACATATTCATTCTCTACAATTTCTCCTGTGTTTGGGTATCATCTATCAATGTGATCTTGATCTTTCACTTCAGATCAATTTACTATCTTTTAATGTATCACTCAATTAAGTCCATCATAAGCTTGTATTTTTCTTTCTTTGAACAACTCTATCATTTTCTAAAATAGTATGCAACTAATTGATTGAGATTAATGCAAAACAACAAAAGAAATCAAGGTGAGAAGTTGAGTAAAACTTTAAGTTGCAATTGAGGTACATTGTTAAAGTTGTGTAGGGTTGATTGTAC